CCCTCCACACCCACCCTTCCTTCTTCCTCTTGGCATACATGGTCCATCATATCATTTCTTGACTATATCCTAAGCTCTTTTTATGTAATCAGATCTGTCTATTTTTTATTTTATAGCCTGTGGATTTTTAGTCTTGCTTAAATTCAACCTCATCTCTAGGTTGTACTTATGATTTCCTAGATGTCCTCACAAAATGTTAATTTTACCCTTACCACTTTAATTCCTCTGAAGTTCATTTCTCTTTATTGTAAGGTAAAGGCTAATATTCTTTTCATTCAGATGGAAATTTACTTTTGCAAGCACTTATTATAGAATAACAAATTCCTTCCCAGTGAATTTAACTGCCACATGAAATTCTCATGCATCTTTGGACCTAACACTGGATTTTTTATTATATTTTACTAAGCCATTTGTCTACTACCATGTAGATACCATATTGGTCCATTTATATTTGCTTTCTTGGATGTTCTAAGTCTAGGAAAACATGTTTTTCTATGTTATTGTTTCTCAAAATGTTCTCGGCTAATCTTTGGTATTTGTTCTCCAGGTAAATTTTAAGATTGTTTTATCCAGTTTTACGAACACATACACAAACATATATTATCAGGATTCCAAGTAATAGTTCCTTAAATATATGTCTTTGTTTTGAGGAAGTTACATTTTCTAACGTTAAATCATTCTATCTAAAACAAAAGTCTTTACGTTATGCTTACTCACAGACATGGCGCCTTTTCCTCTCCCTGCTCTTTCCTGAATCATCCGTTTTTCCTCTTTTGGGCATTATTCCCATCAATTTACAAATATTTTACTTAAGTGATGTGGTAACTAAGGGAAGATCACCATCAAGAGGGTTGCTTTTGGGGCGCCTGGGTGGCTCAGTCGGTTAAGCGGCTGCCTTCGGCTCAGGTCATGATCCCAGGGTCCTGGGATCGAACCCCACATGGGGCTCCCCGCTCAGCGGGAAGTCTGCTTCTCCCTCTTCTTCTGTCTCTCCCCCTGCTTGTGAACTCTTTCTCTCTTTCTCTGTCAAATAAATAAATAAAATCTTTTAAAATAATAAAAAAAAAAGCGGGTTGCTTTTTTTCTCTGCTTTCTTCTTCTTTTTTTAAATAATATAACTCCTCCAAGGGGTGCCCAGGTGGCTCGGTTGGTTGAGTGTCCAAGTATTGGTTTTGGCTCAGGTCATGATCTCAGGGTTGTGAGACCGAGCTCCGTATTAGGTTTCGTGCTCAGTCAGAAGTCTGCTTGAGATTCTCTCTCCCTCTACACCCCCCATCACTGCTCATGCGCTCTCTCTCTCTCTCAAATAAATAAGTAAATCTTTAAAAAATAATAATAATAATAATAAAAATCCTCCAAGGGTTTTCCTTTTCCTATCTCTATAATTTGTTTGCCCCCTTCTCTCTAAACCTCACTCCCGTGCATGCCCAGGGTGAGGTTGCTGACAAACAATTTAAGTGTCCACTGTCTGGATCATCTTTCATTGTTCTCTTTGATGCCTACCTGACAGTTACCAATAAATTGTCCCAGCTATTAAAGTTTAAGTTTACTTAGTCAAAAAGCTCAATAAAAGGATTATTCTAGATTAATTTAGTGTTCTCATTAATTACAAATAAGAGAATTCCTGAAATTATCTTTTTTTGTTTTGTAATGAAGATTACTTTTTTGCCTTAGGAAGTATATTAAATAAAACAGAGTCTTTTTTTGAGAATCTATATTAATATTTAGGGTATGTGTATAGCATCTTTATATAATAAAGAAAATAGTGGATTGGGAAAATTTTCTAAATAGACATTGACTACAAAATATGCTCTGGAAGTTTTGGGTGGAAATTTTTAAAGTAAAACTTTGAAATAAGCTTATTTGTGTGTGTGTGTGTGTTACCTCTTTTTTTCAGCTTTTTGAGGGAAAAAAATATCGCTAATTAAGGGTTCCACTTAGTTGGGTTAAAGTTAATCAGGATTGACTGCACTTGAACTAAAATTCTTAGAGACACACATAAACTTGGTTAACTTCTTTCTTTTGAAGCTACATACTGCATTCAAGGTAGTGGTTAAATAACCAACCCATGAAAAATGACAATTTTCTGTTGCCAACATCATTTTAATTGCAAGTTACAATTTCCTCAGCATTTTCTTGTTTGCTGATTTGTAACCAACTTACGTAGCACCTTGGTTTGCTGTTCCAGGTAATGTGTTGGTTTTCCCTCTCCCCATAATTAAATTCAAGTAAATATAACCCCTAACTTACATCTTATAACTAGTAGTTAAGTGTTTGAAATTTTCCATTAGCTATTTTTCTATGTTTAAAAATCTTAATATAAAAAGTTGGGTTAACAATCCATTTCTTAAAAGTCTAATTTATCAGATGGCATATTTCATGTGAACTCAAATCCTTTTATCAATTGTTACATCTTTCACTTTATGTCATATAAGTAATTTCAGCTTTAGGGGGAAAAATTTCAATCCTGGTTTTATTTTACGTAAACGCAACTTACATTTTCCAATTCTTTTTCTTTGCTAACTGTAGACACAATCCCCATTTATTTAAACTAACAATGGTTAAGGAAATAGTTTTGCGCTTCTTTGTCCTTGACTCTGGTGTGTATTTCTTTGGTGTAAAATATGCCTAACTAAGTGAGAATAGTTTTCTCTTCTCTGCAAGTGAAATGAATTGCTCATTAAACAATGACATAAAAATATAGATTAAATGTTTAGTTAGCATATGTGACAAAGTGACGTAAGTTCACGATGGCTGAAGCCAAGGAAACAGAAAATGGCTTCCTCTGAAAAAGATCTATTATCTGCTGCTAACTCAGGTTGATTATTCACTAACACCATACAAAAAATAAAAACTCCCAAAGAGGGGTTCGTACATGTACCAAATAACCAGTCATGTGGCATGCTGGTTATAAATGCAAAATCACAGACCTCACCTCTAGAGTTTCTGGTTAGAAAGCTGGAAGTAGGGTACAGTTAACACCACTTTAATAATTTTATTACCTCCCACTACATCTACTCCATTTAATTCTGAAGCAGATGATACATGGGCCAGGCCCTGAGGAAAAAATACACTAGACCCCATGCTTCTGTGTTGCAATGTTTTTCTGCCTTTCTGATTAAAATTCTCGACTAGTAGCAATTTCATACAATTCAAACTAATATTTTCCCTGCCTTATTTATTATATCAAAGCAAAATTTGAATAACCCATAAGTTGGGTAATTTAGTGTTATAGTGGAATAATATCTTGAAGTATTAATCAACATGTATCTGCTATATTTTATGCTACCCTGTGACTGCATTTATCCACTGCTGGAGGAAATGTACTCATAGACTCAAAGAACAGACTGCTGAGGATCAAAAGCCTACATTTTTATGGGTAAAATCTAGCCAACAAGGGAATTCAAGGCAAAAAAGTACTAGATGACTCAAGTGAAATTTCACTGCTTCTGTCCTCTTCTCTCTCTTCTTTCCCAACCCCAAGATGAAAAATAACTCCAAAAAGTTTGGGGGGAAAAATGAGTGAGAAAAAGATGTAAGAGTGAGTAGATACAGTGGGGTCTGAGGTAGAGATATCCATGCTCTGCTGAAGGAAGTCTTGAGGGACTTCTGTCTTGAGGGACAGAGGACTCCAGATATTTTGTGGGAAACAAGTGTAGAAGGAACCTTTGTCTCATTTGGTGGAGATGAAGACAAGGAACGTCCTCAGAGTAGGACTGGATTCAGATATCTCCAGTAAGCCTCATACAATTACCTTACACTAGGAGTAGATGGTTTCCTTTTTCTCTAGTCATCAGGAAGGGGTAAGAATTATATGAAGCCTCATTGAGTTTCTGTGGTCTCAGCATAAACAAGAAAAACAGCGTGATTTCTGCACACCCAAGAGAGTCCCAAGCATTAACTGAGTCCCAGCATGACCCGTGCAGCCTCTGGACTAGATTCGAAGGTGTCACAGAAGCAGTCTGCATGGGCAAACACACACAGACCAGCCAGGACAAGGCTGCTTCGGAAAATGCCAGCACAGGGAGAGGGCAGCTACCAGGAACAGATGCCATCCTTAATCACTTGACACTCTGCAAGCTCCTTGAAATGCTACAGATACAACGCAGGAGAAGAGGGAGTGGGTAGTTTTTTGGGTGGGTGGAGGGATGACCACATTTCAAAAATTTATTTCTTAAATATCTGTGCTATGGGGTTAAAATGAAGACTTATTATAAAAATCCAGACTATATCCATGACATTACATTTTAAACCAAGACAGATGATTAAAGCCTTTAACTGTTCCCTTTCAATCCTAGATTGGCATGCTTTTAGTCCATAAACCTCTTTATGAGAAACATATTTGTACTTGCTATGCTATCCCTACAGTCCATCTCCTAGCCCAGGACTGTACTTCTGTCTTAACCACATTAGGAGCTAGAGAAATAGATTCTCTCCTTGGCTTTTTTTTTTTTTTTAATATTTATTTATTTATTTGAGAGAGAGAGAGAGAGAGAGCAGGAGGAGGGGCAAAGCGAGAGGGAGAATCTCAAACAGACTCCCCGCCAAGCATGGAGACTGACACAGAGCTCCATCTCAGAACCCTGAGATCACGACCTGAACCAAAATCAAGGGTCGGACACCCAACGGACTGAGCCACCCAGGCACCCCTCATCTTGGCTTTTGATGACACACTGCTTCCCTCACTATTTCTGTGAGTGCCACCAAAAGCTATTGCTCAAGAACCCTGTTTTTTATCACTAGTTTCCTCTTCCTATTTTTAGGTATTTCTCAAAGACACTTTTATTCCTTTAATTCATTCCTGACTCTCTGTTCTGACTTCCTGTTCTGTAATAACCAGATGGCAAAACCCACTTCACCCTCACATTTTCACCTGAGCTTCCTGCCATCTTTCATCATTCCCCTTTCTAAGCAGCATGCTTGTATATGTTACTCCTCACTCTAAAATTTATGTGGCTAATATATTTATACTTATATTTGTATCATATTATATTTTCCAGAGGTGACTGTAACAAGAACTCCTGCTGTCTGCACTCTCCTGTAATGTGATTTCTCTACATATCCATGGGAGAGGTAAAGTGCATTTTTGCACCCTTTAAATCTGGGATTGCTCTGATTAATAGAATATCACAGAATTGACATTGTTTCTCTTCTGGGGGCAGACTTTAACTGGCATGACAGCTTCTGCTTCTTGCCTCTAAGAAGCCAGTTGCTGCAAGAAATGAAACTATTTCTCTGTGTTAGTCTCAGCTACCTGGAGAGGCCCTGAAAGATAAAACATTATAAGGAGAGACCAAGAGGCCAAGGAGGACTGAAGTTCCAGACATGTGGGCAAAGAAACCATCTTGGATATCTATCCATCAAAACTTCAGATGGTATGAGAGACTCCAAGAGATGCCTACCCTGGAAACCTATATAACCATGAGAGATAATGACACTTGGTTGTTTTAGACCACTCAACCTTGAGGTGGTTTGTTATGCAGTAATAGATATCAGAAACAAAGGACAACCATCATTTGCCTTATTAGTTTCTCATTGTGAGTGAAAGCAAGGAAAGCATTCCCTGAGGAAGTGATGATTGAGCTCGGTGTGAAAGAGAAATAATAGCTAACTCAGAGAAGCAGGGAGGAAAAAGAATCGCAGGTAAGAGGGGAAAGAAGGTCATTCAACTGGAATAAAGAGAGCAAGAGAAAACATGGTGAGATGGTGAGTTGACACCATGGCCCACATGCCTTCCAAGCTCTGGCACTTCTAAAGAGAAACCACTCTAGCCCATGATGGTCTTTTCGTTTCCCTCATGGGTCATTGTCATTCCACTCATTAAGAATGTACTGATATACTTTCTTGGGAGGATCAGTACACAGTTACATTGCAATCATGTTAACTTAATATCCCCATGTGTGTATATCACACTAAAGTATAAACTGCTGGGGCGCCTGGGTGGCTCAGTTGGTTAAACGACTGCCTTCGGCTCAGGTCATGATCCTGGAGTCCCGGGATCGAGTCCCGCATCGGGCTCCCTGCTCAGCAGGGAGTCTGCTTCTCCCTCTGACCCTCCCCCCTCTCATGTGCTCTCTGTCTCTCTCATTCTCTCTGTCTCAAATAAATAAATAAAATCTTTAAAAATAAATAAATAAATAAAGTATAAACTGCAAATTAGCAAATGGTTGTATAGTATGTGTAATGGTGTTATGGATATACTAGGTGCTCAATGAATATATGTTAAATTAAATATATATTTCATGGATGTCAATGAAATGATATATGTTTTCTAAGCATGATGTATATCACTTGTCCCTCAAAGGCTAAATCTTTTTGCCCTACAGCAAAACTATTCAAAACTCTCTTTCCTCTTATATTTCTAGTCAACAGGGTGACTTAAAAAATGACCTAGATATCGTTTGGCAGCTACAATAAGTTGTGGTGAATTAGTCATCGAATCTTTAAATCACTCTGGTTCTGCCACAATGTGAAGACTCTACATTTTGCGAATTCACAAAATATTAGAGCCAAATTTTATCTGAATATGTATCTACTTTGATGACATTTTTAAAAATAAAGCTTCACGAATTGAGCATAAGGGACATCAGATCTCCCTCAGTTCTGAGGATTACAGTGATGAGGATGGAGAATGTGGAATTGGTGACAAGCCATTGGCCAGGAGGTAAAAGAACAAACACAAAAGTATTTATCTGTAGGGTTTTGCTCCATGACTAGATTCTTGTGTCCTTGACTACATCCTGCTGTTTGTTTCTCATCACTGTGATCATTGATGAGAACTTCACAGCAGAATGGACCCAGGGTGACCAGAAAAGAGTTTTGACTCCATTGTTCTTCCATGTACCTAACAAAATGCCTGAGAGATAGAGAAAATAGAACTGAGTGAGAATGAGAAAAGATTTAAAGGAGAGGCAAAAGAAAAGAAATGTATTGTCCACATTTTGTTTTCAGTAAGAACTTCATAAATATACACATAAGTGACGTTTTTGTCACTAACATGTTTGGATCTGGATTACTTTCAATAGGAAAACATAAATAAAGATGAACATAGCTTTGCAAATATTCTAACGGTAACTGCATCTATAGGTAATTCCTAGCCTTCTCAGTGTTGAGAGAGCAGAAATAATCAATGAATATGAATAAATTAATAAAATTACCAGTAAGCTTTTTTAACCAGAAGTCTAAACAATGAGTGGCTCATTGACTTTTGTAATCCAATATATAGATGTATTTCGGATCTATATCTTTTGATCAAATTGTTATAATTCCAAAGGATTTAGAAAATATAGAAGCTATTTTATTGACCTAATATTTCTGCTTTTCTAAAGTATGACATTCAAAATTATCAGTCTGTTTGGAATTAATAATTTCAGAGAGAGATGCTAGGGGACATTTTGGCACCAGAAGTTACAACAGTGCTTCAATATATGAAAGGTTTACCACAGAAATTTAATTATTGCTTGCCTCTATGGTTCTATGTCTAATACAAAAAGAATTGACTCATCTTAATTTTGTGTCTAATCTCTTTAGTATATATACTTTCCTCACATTTTTATTTATCCTATTTCTCCACATTCCTTTACTTGGTATAAGCTCACTTTTATTAAAAATGTATAAACACAATTATGAGAGGTTCTGATTTTCAGAAACGAATGTACAAAAATTCAGTTTACACATGTGTTATGAAGACATTTTTGCTTGTAATTCTTTAACAACCAGCATCTTGGTAGCGTGCTGTAAAAGACACAATTCTTGCCATTCCACTGGAAGTGCTCCCCTGCACAGCAGGTCATTGCCTCTGTCCTAATAAAAAGGAATTTTAAATATTCCTAAAACAACTTATGTTCTGCTAAGGAGATACACGGGAGGGTTTTGTTTGCTTTGTTGTTGTTGTTTTAGCGTCCTAAGAAGAGCATAAAGAGCAGGTGTTTGTTAGTTCTACTTAATGCTTGAAGGAACTGGAATTCAAAAAAGTTAAAGGACTTCTGTTGTCACAGAATGAAAATCAGAGGCACAAAACTCCTCCTGGAAGACCTACTTACTCTGTGTCAGGTCCAGTTTTAAATTCCACCTTTCTGTGAGAATTTGCTATTGACACCTCTTGATTCTATGTTGCATTAAGCTAAGAATTCTAATGTCTCAGCTACAAAACGATTGCCACCTAGGTGATATCTCTTCATGCCTTGGTACAGAGGTTATATGTGAAGACTTGACCATCACCTCACTTTTTCAAAAAACCAGTATTTTGAGCAGTCTAGACTTGTGATGAGAGCTATGTTGCCTACTTATCATTAATGAGACATGTAAATCAAAGCAAATATTCAAAATGTTAAGCAGATAATCATCTTTCTCGCATAAAACTATTTTTGCATGTCTTCATAGGTATATAACTGTCCTTGCATTACTTAAATATTTTTATCAGGTGTTGCCTAGTGGCAAATAAACACTGCATGTCAAAATTAGAGCATAGAAATAACCACACGAGCCCAGGGGGATAGTGAAATTGCATTTTCAACATAATTAGCTCTCTAATTATAAGGCCCAGCTTAGTCAATGTACCTAAAATATAATTAATTATGATTTATTTAAACACTGCTTAAAATACATTATTCTTTATTTCTTAAAAGCCAAATTAGAAGGAAAAATTTAGTTTTAAAACCAGCAGTGTTTATAAAATCTTATTATAATTTTTTTTTTTTTTAGATTTTATTTATTTATTTGACAGAGAGAGACAGAGTGAGAGAGGGAACACAAGCAGGGGGAGGGGAGAGGGAGAAGCAGGCTTCCCGCAGAGCAGGGAGCCCGATGCGGGGCTCAATCCCAGGACACTGGGATCATGACCTGAGCCGAAGGCAGATGCTTAACGACTGAGCCACCCAGGCGCCCCTTATTATAATTTTTTAAAGCTCAATGCAATAATTACAAAGTTAGCAGCAATTGCCCAAATGCAATTTTAAGAAGAAAACATCATGCAATATAAAGGGGTTTAAATTACAAGAAATAAAAAAATCTGCTTGTGTCAAATCGACTCATAGTAGAAACATTCCAAATATCTTCACATCAACAAATTCTGATCATAATTTGCATATTTATTATGGTAAAAATCATATAACATAAAATTTTCCATCTTAACCATTTCTAAGACCACAGCTCAGTAGTGTTAAGTATGTTCACATCGTTGTGCACCCAATCTCCAGAACTTGTTCGTCTTGCAAAATCAAAGCTCTATACCCATTGAACAACTCCCAGTTTGCCTAGTCTCCGCTCCCCACCAAGCTTCCTGCAACCACCATTCTGCTTTCTGTTTATAAATCTGACTCCTCTAGATACCTTGTATAAGTGGAATCACACAGTAATCATCTTTTTGTGATGGGCTTATTTTACTTAGCATGATGTCCATGAGGTTAATCCATATTGTAGCATATGTAAGAATTTCCTTCCATTCTAAATGAAATAATATACTACATTTTGTTTATCCATTCATCCGCTGATGGACGCCTGGGTTGTTTCCACCTATTGGCTATTGTGACTAGTGCCTGCTATGAACATGGGTGTGCAGATACCTCTTCAAGACTCTGCTTTTGATTCTTTGATATATATCCAGAATACACACACACACACACACATCTAGAAGTGGAGTTGCTGGATCATATGGTAATCCTATTTTTAATTATTTCAGGAACCACCATACTGTTTTCTGTTGTAACTGTGCATTTTACATTCCCACTGACACAGAGGTTCCAATCTCTCTGCATCCTGGATAACACTTGGTTTCTGTTTTTTCAGTAGGAGCCATCCTAATGGGTGTGAAGTGATACCTCATTATGGTCTTGATTTGCATTTCCTTCATGGTTGTGATGTTGAGCATCTTTTCACATGCCTGTTGGCAATTTGTATATCATCTTTGGAGAAATGTCTGCTCAAGTCCCTTGCCTAGAGATAAATTTTTTATCAGCCTCATATATTCACTACCTTTTCTAAACAAAAAAACAGAAACTTTATTTAGTTTTGCTTTGTTTTAATCAGGGTTAATAAGGTTCAATATTAGAAGAGAAGAAATTTGTGAAATTATT